GGAAGAAGCTGCAGTGCCACATGTGAACTCCCAGCACTGCATCGACCTCAGGTGCATTGCAGAGTCACACAGATGATCTTCACTTTCCCTAGGAGAAAGTCTAGTTCTGCATTTCTTATGAAGCAAATACTCTTTGTGGTTTTCTGAGAGTTCTTTCTGGAAAGAAAAAATACTGGTTTGGATATTAGTTCTGTTAGTGATGATGTAAATTGAGATTAAATCCATTGTCGACCACCAGAGTAAAATCTTCTTTCACAATTTTGCCCCTTTTCTCTCATTGCCAAATGAGCTAAGAAGGGTCACTGAGCACGCCCAGCTGATTGTTTTGTTTCCACATTTATGATGGGAAAGATTCCAATCAGTCTGAATTAGGAAGCTCCAAATAATATAGTTCTTAGAAAATGAAAGATAACCCAAACTGTGTCTCATAAAGAAGTTCAAATTATTTTCTTTTTTTTTTTTTTTTTTTTTTTTTTTTTTTTTTTTTTTTTTTTATAATAAAAAACCCCCACCCCCCCCCCTCCCCCAAAGATTTTTTTTTTTTTTTTTTTTTTTTTTTTTTTTTTTTTTTTTTGTAAAATTAAAAAACCCCAAGCCCCTACCTGCCCCAAAGTAACCCCATTACCACCTTTGTGTGGTAGGTGTTAGAATTATCTCTTCAAAGTGACAATTACATGGAGAAAATTAATAAAGGCTCCTGCAAATTTAATGGACAGAGACATAATAAACCAAAACCAGAGTGATTCCGTTAGATTTCTTCTGCTACAAATTACCAGCCTCATGATACTATTGATGGGCTTTCACTATATCCACTTTAAATCACCACAGACCATTCCCTCACTCAGTTCTTCCACTGGCCAGGTGTTCTTACAAAGCAACTTTGATTATTTGTCCTGTCTCCAGAAATCTTTTAATTTTGTATGAGGTGAAACAGACAGATCCATATGGACTCCACAAAATTCTTCATAAAAATCAATTAATGCAAAAGTAGTAAGGGACTCTTGAAAAGTTGATTTTTATGTGCTTTAAATGTGGTGCTTCATCAGTTCATACTGAACAAGAAAACACCCCTTCATTCAGGTTTTGTTGGAAATAAGAAGAATGAAACTGAGTTTAACTCTTGTAAATGTGCAATGACCACCAAAATGGTGAAGTATTTCCATAAAAGCATTAAAACTCCCCAAACTGAAACAACTAGCAGAAATCTCTTGGACTTATCCTTTTGAGAATGGAAAGTCTGACCCAACCCACTATAATTTGAATTCCAACTGAACAGCCTGCTACCATGGCTCTTAAGAGTTTACTGGATGCTGAAATTCATCAACCAGGAAAACCTATTAGATTTAATAATTTAATTTTTCAAGAAACAGTCCAGGGAACCAACAGTTAAACCAAAGAACCTCTAGTAAACACAACAATGAAAATTAATTAATTAGCCTCCTTATAGTGCTTTGATAGATGCATTGAATAAATCTGAGCTGATGTTTCAGTCAGGTGCCTTTGTGTGGTAGGTATTAGAATTATCTGTCATTAACCTTATGCTTCTAATGAAGGTGCTTGGGTAGAAAAGTTAAATGACTTCCCAAAGTCACATCTGAAGTTGGCATTACAACTCAGGCATTTACTTTCAGTCCCTGGAGATAATTTCTTTAAAAACATAAAGGGATGCGTGAGGTACAGATCATGACCTGGAAAGGCACCATCATTTCTCTAACCTCAGTTTCAGAAAGCAGAAAAAAAATTGAGAGATAGCTGTGAAAAAACATTGCAAGGAAAAGTTACCCATCCAAGCCTGGAGTGGTACCATCTAAATTCTGTTTTATTATATTATTATTATTTACCCCCGGAATCTGTCTGAAAATTTGATTTATTTTGTATGATTTACATTATAGTTAAGTGACACCTCACTCTGTGTTTCCAACAAAACCCATAGATAAATCTAGCTGTCAGTGAATGTCTTGAAAAACGACAATCCATCTTTGTTGTTATTAGTGTTATGGTAAGAGGTAGGGAAGGGAAAATATTATATAATGAAAATGGCTTTTGAGAGAAGATTTAAATATTCTGCAATATGGTCTGTAAAAGAAACTTAACCTCCTTAAGGCTCAAGATGACAAAATATATATTTAGAAATGTATTGGCTATGCAGAGAAAATTCTGCCATTTGTATTCAACAAATATCAAGAAGTGCAATTTTTTTCCCCTCAGGATGGAAAAATGCAGATTTCATGAACAGAAATATTAAAACATGTATTATTTTTTCCTGACCTTTTGACAGGCTGTCTATTGAGCTTGGTAGGACATCCAAAAAATTCAGATTCAGATTTCAAAACTAATGATTAATACTACAGACTTTTCACAGTATTGAACTGGCAGTGCCAAATTCCCCTACCATGAGCAAGTGCAACTCCACGCATTTCAGCAGAGCTGTGTTTGCATATCTTAGCAAGCAATTCTGGCCCTGTGCCTGGGAAAGTATCTTACATTTCATAGTCACTTGATTATGGCTCATCTTTAAACCACACTTTACTATTTGCAAGATACTTAACCCACAAAACCAGAGAAGTCCATCTGCTAAGATTCCATTGTGCATCAGTAAGTAAAAATGATGAAACTATTTGAAGTGACAAATCTAGTATGAAATGGACATAAATATATTCCAAATACGTATTTGCTTCTTCAGACTGATGAACTTGAAATTTAGGGTTAAAAATTTCACTTGCACTAGAAATTAATTTCTTCAAGATGATTTTTACCTGAACCAGAAATAGTTCTTACTACTTAATAGGGCAAGATTCACTCAAAAGAACCCATCCTTGGAAAAAAGTAAGAATGCACCCACAGCCAGTAGCAGCTGTCACAGACATATAGGATTTAATTAAGAATCTGCTTCTGATAGTCTGGAACAACTAAATGGAATAAAAATATTAGGTATTAGCCTGATACCAACGTTGTTGATTTTTGGTGGGGAGCAAGCTAACCACATGTCAAAAATCATTAACCAACCTCCAGTTTGGTCTAAAATACTAATCTAATGTTATGTTAGGCTTGTAAAACCGAGACTAAATAATTGAAACTGTGCTTTTTTGTTTGATTTCATAGAATCATAGAATGCCCTGGGTTGGAAGGGAATTTAAAGTGTCACCCAGTGCCACCCCTGCCGGGGCAGGGACACCTTCCACTAGCCCAGGTTGCTCCAAGCCCTGTCCAACCTGGCCTTGGGCACTTCTAGGGATGGGGCAGCTTTTCTGGGGGCATCAGGATCTCACCATGCTCACAGTAAAGAATTTCCTCCTAAGAATAAACCTAAATTCTCCCTCTGACAGTTTAACAGCATTATAGTTATTTCTTTTTCCCATTAAAGTTGTGGGTTTTTCTGGCAGGGAGTTTTTGGCTTTTTTTTTTTTTTTAACTACACCTCTAAAAGGTATTTTTCCGCCTTTTATGGCATTACTTCTTACGATATTTTTAAAACATCAACTTAGCTATTTTAAACTTTTTTAATAATGCTATTAGACCTGTCATTGCAACACTTTTCTGCAAATCTGTGGAGGATGTGACTGCTATAACACTAACCCCACATATGTTCATGCATATAAGCCTACAACTCCACTGCCACTATAATATAACTATGAACAAACATTGTGGAGGGGTTTTCCATTTGTTTGGGGTTTTTTTTTCCTCTTTTTCTACACCTACTAGCTATTTTCTTTTTCATTGCCACAGCTCCAGTCACAAGGAGGCAGCAATGAATCTTTGCATATACACAGGGAAGGTTGCTGACAGCCCTGTGATCCTCTTGCAGACAGCAGCAATAGACCTTACTGGATTCAGCATTGCACAGAAATTTCAGACCACCAAGACCTTCCTTTAGGCACCTACAAGTTAAGTACTATAGCAAACACCTGATTTCCAGGGCAGAATAAGGTATCTTGACTCCATGTTTGGTACATGGCAAGAATGAGATGCTCCAGAACATTTGAAAACACACACCCACTGTAAAAACATATCCAGACACTTATTTTATCAGGGAACTATCCAGATTTAGTCAATATTAACCAAGGAACCCTCAGTCTTTGCCTCAGCTCAGGCTCTACAGAATTAGGAAGAGTTGTGTTTATACACAAGACATTCAGAGGTATAGTTCAGTTATCTGTCAAATCAGTAGCTCCCTAATTGCATTTCCCTTTGCTAAACAGCACATTGTGTGACAAGAAAATATGTTGCGAAGGGGCTACAAAGCCTTCAAAACCCTGCTACTGCAGAAAAATGCCATACAGTGTTATGGAACAAATCACTGAGTTACATTTGTCTTTAAAAACACAAGCACTTTTCATAGTTCTTGGCCTGTTGAAGGGCAAACCAAAATTAACATTATCATCATTTTATTAGATGTCCATTTCATGAAGTATCCAAGGTTTCAATCATTTCAGTTTTTACTCCTCATGGAAGAATAAAGCTATTTCAATATCATCCCTGGAGACTTGTAATTATCACTTGTTGGCTTTACTGTGTGTCTCTTCAGAAAGAGATGGTACTATAAATATATATATGAAGTACAGACCTTTCAACACCATATATGTTCTTAAGGCTGTGCCTTCTCTGTAGGTCCTTTCCCTATTTCAGTTCAAACTGACAAATAATTAAGTCTAGAGCAGCCATTGGCCAGGACCAGATTGTGAAGCACTGATTTGGCTTTTTACTTCATAGCCATTCAGCTCACTGTTAGTGAAGCTGAACTGAAATTTAGCTCTTGTTGCTCATGTCTTTTGACAAACTGCTGGAAGCACCATTTCTAACATGCTCAATTACTTTAATGAGCTAATAAAACACAGCATGTTCCTCTGCCCATCATCCAAACATTTCCGGGGTGATCACCGGCATAAAGTTGACCTAAACTCCTGGAACAACACCTCTAATATTTCAGCCAGTATATAACCTTTCCTGCCTCTCCTGGAGGTGCCAGATGGAAATCTGGCTGTGTCAAGAAGGTCACTTACCTCCACTAACTTGTTGGCGTGTTCACGGAAGACCTGAGCGTATTCCTTCACTTCTTTCTCGTTGCCGCTTTTGGCGGCCTCGATGAGAACCAGCAGTGGGACGTTGGTCTCCAGGAATGAATCTGATATGTGATCCATCACTGCCTTCCGGAGCTGTGACAAAGGACAGCAGACCAGTAAATAAAGGACATTTATCAGCACACATTCCCACTGTTCATATTGAAGCACTGATGTGTTGCATCTCGCAGCGATACGCGGGAATTTGGATTTTTTTTATTTCTTTTCTTCAATATTTGCAGCAAGCAAAATCAAGAACTTGAGGGCCTAGGCTCTGCCAACCCCTCCTGGGATTTGTGCTGACATACACCTAATCCTACTGGCCTGAATGGATCTGTACAGAATGATGGTGATAACTCATGTAAGACATAGCAAATTGATGAGAATTGAAAGCTCCACACTACTTGAAAAAACAGTTCAGCTCACTAAAAAGCCAAATACAGATTAAGGAGCTTAACTCCAAGCAACCATTAAAAAATATTAGCTTGAATATTTCTAAGCCTTCTCTAATTCCTCCAGTGAATAGTATTCCATGCAATAATTAATATTTTGTGTAGCAGATGCCTTGTGCTTTGTATTCCTGTTTGAATAGCTCCAAGAAGTATAAACAGAAATCCTTTTTAGCATTTTCCAGGCAGATTAGAAAACATATTCCAATTTATTCTAAAGGAAGAAAAAAGCCACCTTAAAAGTTACTGAAGATTTAACACCTGTTAGTCCATATAAACATCTATTTGAAACAATATTACTGTAAGAATGATATCACTAAACTCTTTCCCACCTTGCTAATGACCACTAATTAATGTCAAACTTCTCCAAAATTTGAAAGACAGCCAGAAAGATGACTGAAATCTTAAACAATTCTTCCTGGAAGCTTAATTGCTCTGCAGGATTGCGGATCAGAAACATCTTGATTATGTTTTCTCCAGCTTTGAGGTTGTTAAGAATGGAAAAGTGTGGACTCAAACAGAAGCTAGGAGCTATTCAGCCTGGAGCCTTGGGTACCCATTAGTCTCCTTAAATCATGCATTTTTAGTTAGATGAAGCATCCAGAGAGGTAATTTTCTCTATTCTGCAGCCCAGACAAGAAAGCTTTATCTAGACAAGGTGCCATCAAAACACCCAATCACACTGAAAACTGGCCTATTGTCAGACACTGCAAATACACAATCCAAGATGCATTTGCTGTTTGATGATAGCAATTCTCAGCTCTATTTGAATAAGGAGAAAGCTAACTTTGAATATTTTCCTTCATTCCCTGAGTGGTGCAGTAAAAACAAGCAAAGCAAAATAGCATATATGTGCTTGTAGGAGGTATTCATTTTATTTCCATCACAACTGAAGCAGTCAACATATTAAGCAGTTCTCAATTCTTCTTAAAAATTAATTCTACTCAGATTCAACCTGGAAAGTTTTTTTTCCACTTTCAAAATGATTAAAGGCACTCAGAATAGCTAACTCAGTAACACATACAAACAGGGGGGGAAAGAAGACAAAAAGAAGAAAAGAATCATCTATCAGAGACCTGCCAACAGTTTGGAAGCTGGTGTGTGTTTGCTACCACCTATTACATTTCCATCTTGTACTCTTTATTTTTTCTCCCATCAATCTGCTGCTCTCCACTTGCTGACTCTTATTTTATTCTTACATTAAAAACTCCTTCAGATCATGCTTTGGGTCTATTTGCACAGCATCTCACACAATGGGACAACGATCCATGAATAGTTTTCATAGGTACCATCCCAATATAAATAACAATATTGTTCCAAATACATCAAAACATTACAAGAAAAAGAAGAAAAGATATTCTAAGATGCTCAGAGAATAGTGCAGCAGCACAGTACCCTGCATTCCATGGTTGACAGATTTCCAGTCAGTACTTATAAAAAATTTTTAACTTAAGAATTCAGACGCACAGTGGGATTCTTGGGGTTGCTCTGTGAAGGACAACCAGGAGTTGAACTCAATGATTCTTGTGGGTCCCTTCCAAGTCAGGATATCCTGTGATTCCCTATTAAATCAGTAGTTGAACCTATAGCCAGCATTATGAGAGAAATACTGCCAGAGAAGGTGCATCATAAATTTGCATAATTCTCCTCTGCAGATATCCATTTCCCAGAGCGTGCTGGCAATCTCCAGATCAGATGCCTGATTTGTGTACCCATAGTTAGAGCTTGATGCCCATTGTATCAAAAAAGGCCAAATGGTAGCATTTCCAAAGGAACACACCAAGCTTTTAAAAATCCCATGTGGCTTCCAGCTCATTCTCATTGAAAGATCCTTAAAAAATTCCACTTGCTCAAGTTGAGTACGTGCCAGTGAAAACCTACTGTCCACTGCACTAAAACCCCTTACTTTAAATGCTAAATGAGCACCAACACTTTCCTGTTTGTGTCCTGCCATAAGGAGGGATCTGTTCCAAAGGCTTGTATTTATTCAATGAACAAGCAATTCAATTTTTAATCCAAGGTAATGTGGTGTTATGGATCAGGTTATAACAATATGCCCCATGGAATTGTAACAGCAGTCTCAGGATGTTCAGTAAGCAGCTTATTTTCATCACTGTTAAATATCTTCAGCCTACAACCACATACCAGAAATCAATAAAAATGACAGCAAGAGCATCAGCTAACCAGCAATGTGGGGTTTACCATAGTAAATATACAGTAGAGCCCTTTCTGAATCAAAAGGAATGAATAAAATGGATATCTTGTTTCTAATGGTAACCGTGTGTTGTACTCTGAGGTTCATAATTGCAGCAGTTGAAAAAAAATCTGAATTCTGACTGTCACAGGTTTAATAAATACAAAATTAATACATTCCATTTTTCTTCTGCTGTGTTAATCATAGATGTCAGTAGGATATTTCTGGCCCCTCTTGTAAACAGGCACTATAATTTCTTTTGGAATTTGTTATCTGAGTTTTAGGATGTCCTTGCATTGAAGTTGAAAGGTAGAGTTAACGGGTTTTATGTAAGCAGGAGACCACAAATTTTGCCATCCTTCACCACAAGCTGTAAAGAATGACTTGACAAAACCATTTGTTAAATGTGACAGCAGTATGAAGGCAAGACATTCATCCACGAGCTCAAATGGATACATGACAAGGTAATATTAATGGCACAAGAAAAGACATTTAAAAGTACTGGCTCACCATTACCAGTCTATTTGATCCAATTAGGGCTATTCATCAAGGTAAATAACTGCTGGAAAAGCAATCTTGTGTTCCTGTGCATACTGCAACAAAGCCCAGTCTAAGTGACGGCTTGTGCACCCAGAGATTTCAGTTTCATCCAGGTAATGTCAGTTCAGAAGGGAATGGGAGAAGGCTGTGACTTGAATTTGAAAGCAGCAAAAGCCCATGGTGTTTTATTCCAAAATCAGCACCAGGGCTTTGCTCATGCACCTGCATTAACAAATGCCTTTGCAATGCCTTAATTTATGCTGAGTTCTGATGTAAATATTATGACACACACTATTACTCGTAAGACAATGCTTTAGGTTTTCTTCCCCCCACAGGATTTTTAATTTAGACATGAATTCAAAGCACGAATTCCACCATGTGAAACTTCATTTATTAGAGGAAGCACGTTAAATTAAGGTCTTGCTTAATTCATTTTGTCAGAGAGAAAACTTTATTAATGTACATAAAGCTAACAGATTAATAAATTTGCCACAACAACAAAAAATATAGAAGGAAAATATCAAGACCTGTAAATATTTTTGAAAGCATGAATGGTGCACAGGCAGAATTTACGCGTTTCCAGTTCAGTCAGTTTTGTCAGTTTATGGTGCTCAGTCAGGTTGCTGTTTTTGATAGCATCATGCTCTACTGTTCTAAGCACTATTTAGGGCTGTTTTATCATTGTCAGTTCACAGCCATAATTGAGCTCAAAGAGGTTAAATGCCCACCAAAACGATGTTTTCCATGGCTATATAACAATTTTAGAACCAAAATGTCTCAGTGCTACTTACAGTCTAGAAGAGAATTAAATGTCTAATCCTGCCACTGGAAGGTAAAGCCACAGCAGGAGATTAATGACTCCAACAGATTGTTAAACTTTATAAAGCCTGGCAGTGCAGAGCTGCCTGTAACAAAAGTTTACCAAGGAGCACCTTATTCACCATTTTCCATTTAACAGGTGTTGCAACCATCTCCAGTTTGCACCTGCAGAGAGCTCCCAAACAGGCATTAATTCAATTGAAAGGGATGAAAATAAAGCCTTCTCCACTGCAGTTAAGGTGTGTCACCTCCAATATACTGTGAAATTGAGTTCTGGAGAATAAAGCAGTGACCATTAGAAGCTGCTGCAGTTTGGTGCTAAAGAGAAAGTCGCAGTCAATTCTGCAGACTGTGTCACATAAGGAGGTGACCAAAGAATGGCAACTTGGGGGATGGGGACAGAAACACCACCAGTTATGCCCTGGCAGATTAAACAGCAAAAAGACTAACATTTAGAACACGTATCACACTTGGATACTCAAACTACAGATCTGTGGAATAGATTTAAAAAGTAAGATTTGAGCCAAAGAGAAATCAAGAAGAAACACTGTTACAAAGACAGGTAATACTTACTAGAATCATGAAATGGCCTGGATCTTAAAGATCATCCAGTTCCAAACCCCCTGCCATGGGCAGGGACAGCTTCCACTATCCCAGGGTGCTCCAAGCCCCATCCACCCTGGCCTTGGGCACTTCCAGGGATCCAGGGCCTGCCCACCCTCAAAGGAAAGAATTTCTTCCTAAAATCTAACCTAAACCTGCTCTCTTTTAGTTTGAACTTCTTAATATATTTTTAATGTGTGAGCTTTCGTCTCTCTACAGACAAGCAGCCATAATCAGGAAAAGATTTGGGGTGAATTTGCTAACAGAAAGCAAGCTGACGTTACAATTTTTGACTAAAAATTGAAAGAATATAATAATTGAAAGAACATAAGAAACACACACAAAGAACATTCCTCCAAGTCACAGGCCACTACAAAGGATTCCTCAAAATAGTTCATGGCCCAAAGCATGGAAGAACCCAGTTACCAAGTGCTAAGGTACTTAATCCCCATTGATTTAAATTTGTTTGTTTGTTTGGGGTTTTTTTGAAG